TTCCCTCTATAAATGAAGAGAAATATCAATTATTTCTATTATTTCATTTCCAAGTCAAATTTAATTAATCAAATATTTATTTATTTATTTATTTATTTAATTTAATTTAATTTATTTATTTATTTATTTATGTATTTATTTATTTATTTTTTTTTTGTCACCAAGTATTCCAAATGAAGTTTTAGGGATTGGTTTGCTTTTAGATTTGCTACTAAACAAAACTAATGTGCTCCTAGCCCCCTACCCATAATCTATATGAAGTAAAATTTAGATGAAGCCCCAAAGCATTAATCTAAATTTTTTATTTTAAATGTTAAAAATACGCAAAACTAGTTCAAATTTATGTTGACAGGTAAATTAACCTAGCAAAAAACTTATGCCAGCATGCTTGTGTGATTTTTATTTTTTATTTTTAAATCGATATAAGATTAATTATAATATGAGAAATATTATATCAAACTAGACAATTAAAATTCAACAGTAGACAAAGCCATATATTGTATCAATGGAAAATGCCAACTGAGTTGTGATACACGTAGTAGCTTGAAAATTTCTGAAGTTCTAACGTTTATGCTATAAAAAACTTTTGAGACTCTTAAAAAGGTTCTTTCAATTTGATCAACAATAATGGAATGATCTATTAAGTGTCAATTTTTAATTTTTCACAAATCTAGTCATATAAGACATAATTTTCTTGCCACATCATTTTGGATGAATTATAATATTTAAATTGTGATTTTCTAATATTTCTATCCTAAAATCTAATAGTAAATGGGATTCAAACTCAAACATTACCATCAAACCTAGACACCAGAAAATATACTCTTATTTAGGAGATTCTATAAGTTTTTAATTTCAATATTCTATGTGGAATTTAATGTGTTTTTAAGTCTGGAAATTCTACAATACACACCATTTAAAATGATTATTTTAGTTATGATTCATGAAATCATATGTATCCCTAGTTATGTTATTTTCCACTTTAGTTATGACATTATTTTAGTTCTGACTTATGAGATCATTGGTTATACCTTATGTAGTGTTTGGTTATAATTTTTTTTTATTTATTATTTTATTATTTTATTTTTATTTTCTTTTAAGTTAAGACTCAGAAAGTATAGAATTATATAATTTTTTTCTTTAATTATAAAATGCATATTTAAAGAGTGTGTATCATAATATTTCTCCTTTCAGTTTGAACAACTTTTCGCCATCTAAAAAAATAAAAAAAAAAGAAAGTCCAAACAACTTTCTTCAACACACCACATTTTCCTACTAAAAGTGAAGGATTATATAATTGTATGTTTTAACTGAATTTAGGCCGTGTAATTGATGAAATGACGAATTTAATAACTTTGTTAAATTGTGTTAAGGTGTGGGAAAAATAATTATGGTATGACAATATCGTTTTTATTCTTTTTTAGGATAAAATTGTATTATTATATTTTTAAAAAATTTGTAATGATCTAATTTTCAACTAAATGTTTTAAAATAATATTATCTAAAAGGGTATTCAAGAAATATTGGCATGCTAAGAGTGGGAATGGTCCAGATCGGTCAATTGTTTATGGTAATACTTTTTATTATTAATAATAATATTTGATATTATAATAAAACTCAATAAATTATAATAGTCAAATATAATATATAATTTATACAAAAAGAAATTTCAAAAGTATAAAAGAAAAACCTAAACAAATATACAAGGAATAAGATTCAAACATTAGTAGGAGCCTTGATAAGATCCAATATAATATTTGCCAATAGGAGTAAGGATCCCTAAAAAACAACCTTTATTGAGAAGGAGGAGGATCTCCTGCTATTTGAGCCCGTAAGGCCCACTACGGGCCCTATTTCTATGATCTGAACCGTTTATTTTGTTGGGAACTTCGTTTATTTCATCCACAAAAAAGGCTTGTAATAATGCTTTTATTAGAGTTGTTTGGATTTTTTTTTTTTTTTTTTTTTTTTTTTCCCCCAATTTTTAAATTTTTGTGTGTGTGTGTGTGTGTGTGTGTGTGTGTGTGTGTGTGTCCTCCCACAGATTTAGACTTTTGAATTGATAACACGGCCAATTAGAGGAGGTCAGAGATTAACTCCCACAACGTCGCCATTATGAAAATGTTACTTGCCCCTGCCCAAAACATCTTACGAAACTTCTTGGAAGTTCAATCCCAACCATCGATCCAATTTAAAAACTACATTAATTGATGGATTATGCATGCTGGCTTGAGTTGTTACTAGCAATTAATCAATAACAGCTTAAAGCTCAATCGATTTTACTTTAGTGTTTTACTTATTATATCAATATGAAAAACACAAAAACTAAACACATAATATAATATAGATATCTCACATGGGGTAAGGTCCCTGGGATGGATCTAGCGGGATGCGGAGGGAGGCGACCGCACCCCCCAAAAATCTGAAAAATATTATATACTATGCTAGAAAATCTAAAATAATTAAGATAATAATTTACACCTCCAAGTATATTTTTGCACCCCTATAATGATAATCCTAGATTCATCCTTGAACATAAGAGGTCCACATGATGTGAGACCTACCTTTTATGATACATCAGTATCTCATATTTTGTTCAATCTTCTACATACTTAGGCTGAGTAATCTTGCGACCATGATTTTCTATTTTGATCGATAAAAATTCTACAAGAGTCTCATAACAATGCAAATTATTCCATTCACACCATACTGAAGGTCAATTAGACAACTTAGAAATGAGTGCGTCTTCAAGGCAGCTAACCCAAATTGGTTTGAGTTGTGTGAGTTGATCAAGACTAGGATCGCTCTGTGGTTGAACCCACACCAGAAGGATTTTAATTTCACAATCAATGATTTCATTTATAATATAAGTCAGATCAGGTTGTGCTTTGGAGGAGCATTATTGCCTTGACTTGGGATGAGCCTAGTTGGCTTGAGGCAGAGAAACTCTGTTCTGCTGCTGTTTTTTTTTGGTGTTGTCTCTGTTTGCTAGTTGGTCTCTCACCAACTTCGGGCTGTGCTAGCATATGATCGGTAAGGCCTCACGGTGCCAACTTAGTTGGGATGGTGATGGTCTTTTGTGATACTGTTTGCACTCCTTCATCTATGTTGATGTAATATTTATGCTTGTACATTTTTTTATCATCAATGAAGTTTTTTGGGTTGATCAAAAAAATAAAATAAAAATAGAATCGGAATTGACTTAAATGAGCTGAAAAACCTAAACAATAAAGCCATACTAGCAAAGGCACGTGATGATTAATTTTTATTTTTTTTCTTTTCCATAGGTCAAATACTTGCACGCATCATATGATTTTCACTATTTAAAATTAAGGTAAATTATAAATACACTCCTTAATATTTCTTAGAACATAAATTACTATTTATGGTTCCAAAAATTATAAATACCCCACTGTTAGAATTTCTTGTTTAACATAATTAATAGAACAAAAAAAATCTAATTACTCTCGTATGCAATAATAAAATTACTTGAATAGTAAATTGAAATATATTTATGACATTATTAAAAATATTAATTGACTTGATAATTTTAATAATGAAATAAGTGATTTGTTATACAACTGGAAACTTAAAAGTGCAAGATGTAATTTCTAAAATTACATAGGCAACCTGTATTTTAAGTAAACCTGAAATGATGTGTTTTTATAAGGAATTTGTCTTTTCTGTAGTTGAAAGTTCAAAGGGAACAGACAGTTAAGGTCTCTTACCGATAACAATCATTAAACGGAGCTCCTTTACCAGTAAGAGTTTATGAAATGCATTGGCCTATTATTTTAACTCTTCGTTCAGTTAAATCTTTTCACAAACTCGCAGCGGTAAGAGATCTCTGTTTCATGACTTTTACAGGTAAGAGATCTCAACTGTATGGTCCAGTTGAAATTTCAATTGGAGACAAACGATTCCCTTTCATAAAATCATAGAACACAGATTATCAAAGTCAAATAGAAAAAATCACGATGAAATGTGAAGCCTAATTTTCTCTCATTTTGTACTTTTAATCTGCCGAACCCATCAATTTTGAGAAAGGGTGGATTTATAGTTGGTTGAAATTTTCTTAATATATTCAATTGATGATTTGCTGTCAAAACAATCACACCAACTCGTGCAGAACACCTATTGCAATATGAGGACAAAAGATTGCACCACTGCAACAAAAAGATTTGTTACTTCCAATCTATTATAGTTTCCAATACATAAAACAAAATCATATTAGTTGTTATGGAACCAACAATTTAAGTTTTGGCATTAATTGGAACATAGTAAAATTAATTTATTGGACTTCAATTATTGACTAATTAAGATCAACATAAATTTATTTGGCTACATTGTACTGCTTGTTATAATGCTGACCTTGGAGTGTAATGTTTAACAATTATATTATGAATGTTGCAGGTTACATTCCCTGCCTTGGAGACTGTAACGCCCTCAAAATAATAACAATAAACCCATCAGATAAGACATGCATTTACATTTAAACTAACTGCATT